GACCTTCTTCACAGAACTGGAAAAAACCATTTAAACTTCATATGGAACAAAAAGAGAGCCTGCATAGCCAAGACAATCCTAAACAAAAAGAATGAAGCCAGAGGCATCACGCTACCTGATTTCAAACTATACTACAAGGCTACAGTAATCAAAAGAGCATGGTACTGGTACCAAAACAGAGATATAGACCAATGGAACAGAACAGATGTCTCGGAGGCAACACCACACATCTACAACCATCCAATCTTTGACAAACCTGACAAAAACAAGCAATGGGGCAAAGATTCCCTGTTTAATAGTGTTCGGAAAACTCGCTAGCCATGTGCAGAAAAGAGAAACTGGACCCCTTCCTGATGCCTTACACTAAAATTCACTCCAGATGGATTAAAGACTTAAACAAAAGAACTAACACCATAAAAACCCTAGAAGAAAACCTAGGCAAAACCATTCAGGACATAGGCATAGGCAAGGACTTCATGACTAAAACATCAAAAGCATTGGCATCAAAAGTGAAAATAGACAAATGGTATCTAATTAAATTCCAGAGCTTTTGTACAAGAAAAGAAACAATCATTAGAGTGAACTGGCAAACAACAGAATGGGAAAAAATTTTTGCAATCTACCCATCTGACAAAGGGCTAATATCCATAATCTACAAAGAGCTAAAATAGATTTACCAGAAAACAAACAAACAAACAAACAAACCCATTCAAAATTGGGAGAAGGATATGAACAGACACTTTACAAAAGAAGACACATATGAGGCCAACAAACATATGAAAAAATGCTCATTGTCACTGGTCATTAGAGAAATGCAAATCAAAACCGCATTGAGATACTACCTCACGCCAGTTAGAATGGAAATCATTAAAAAATCTGGAGACAACAGATGCTGGAGAGGATGTGGAGAAATAGGAACATTTTTACACTGTTGGGGGAGTGTAAACTAGTTCAACCATTGTGGAAGACTGTGTGGTGCTTCCTCAAGGACCTAGAAATAAAAATTCCATTTGACCCAGCAATCCTGTCACTGGGTATACATCCAAAGGATTATAATTCATTCTATTATAAAGACACATACACACATATGTTCACTGAGGCACTGTTTACAATTGCAAAGACCTGGAACCAACCCAAATGCCCATTGACGATAGACTGGACAGGGAAAATATGGCACATATACACCATAGAATACTATGCAGCCATAAAAAATGATGAGTTCCTGTCCTTTGTAGGGACGTGGATGAATCTGGAAACCATCATTCTCAGCAAACTGACACAAGAACAGAAAATCAAACACCGCATGTTCTCGCTCATAGGCAGGTGTTGAACGATGAGAACACATATAAGCAGGGAGGCCAGCATCACACATTGGATTCTGTTGAGGGAGCAAGGGAGGGACAGAAGGGGGATGGGGAGGTTGGGGAGGGATAACATGGGGAGAAATGTCAGATGTAGGTGATGGGGAGATGGAGGCAGCAAACCACATTGCCATGTGTGTACTTATGCAACAATCCTGCATAATCTGCACGTATACCCCAAAACCTAAAGTACAATAATAAAAAAAATTATGCACAAAAAAAGAAATTATCGCTTACAGATAGTTGTATATTACTTATTCCATGATGTGACAGAGTGGGATTCCTAACATTGATATCTTCTAAGCATACCCAGAGAGATTCTATACTTTTTGTATAAAGGAGGCAGGAATTATGTAGGGAGTTGGTTGAGAGAGAGAGAGATAGAGAGAGAGAGAGACAGAGAGAGAGAGAGAGAGAGAGAGAGAGAGAGAGAGAGAGAGAGACAGAGATTGATTTTAAAAAAGAGAGTGCAAGAATAGGCACCCCCAAATAGAAATAAAGAAAATCTCCTTTTCCTATAAATGTCTCCCAAACTGAAAATCAAAAATGAAAGAAAACAAAGGGGGAAAGGAGTTATATTATCTAAGCCTAAAGTTTTAGTACTGATGTTCTAGAACTCCTCAACTAGTTCCTGAGCAAATTGTAGTCCACACTCAGTGTATAATGTTTGGTAACAAATACATGTTCCTCTCTGCTGCAGGCCCTGGCCCTACTCTTAACAACTGCTCTGTAGAAATTGCCTTCTAAATAGATCAGGTCATGGGAACATATGCATATTTACAAAGGAGTCCAATCACTTACACTGGCAGATGGGGACTATTCAAGTTCACAGAAAATTTTGATCAATATAGTCAATATTAGAATATATTGATGAAAAGTTAAAAGCAATCTTTACTAATGAAAAAAAATCAATGAATAAAATTTGCTTTCAAAAGTTTAAAGTTACCAAGCAGCAAATAAGAAAATAAAAATTTAAAACTTCAGTTACTTATCTTTTATCATTTTCAATGAACTTTTTGTTTTCTGTAGGGAACAAAATTCTGTATGCTTCTGGAAGCCAAAATATCTTTCTCTTGTAGGTTTAATAAAGCAGAATACTTAAACACACACACACACACACACACACACACACACACACACACACAAGAAAACCTCTTTATAAGTATTTGTTGATGACAATATGCTTTAAAATTTTAGTGGAAAATCAAGTGTCATTTAACTTTTCACAAGGTTGTAGTTGTTTTAAAACTTAGGGCCCAATTTTAATAAGAAACATATTTCCAAGATTATAATGTTCTTTCTAGCTAACTTATAACTAAATGTCAAAGTAGGTTTTAAATAAAACCCTTCAATTAATGCTCCTTCTAATCCCAAAGAATTAACATAAAAAGGTATGACAAATATTAAAGCATACATCACTTAGGCAGTATTTTTTTTTTTTTTT